TGTTCGAGGGAGGGTCGCTCTGGCAGAGCATGCCGTCAAGAAGGGTGGGCTCCGGCACCACATGTGTACGAGGGGCAGTGGCTCCAGCGGCCCGCGGCTGGGGCTCCGGGCCCCCTCAGGCTGGTGACCGGTGGTCGGCCCTCTCGGTGACTCACTGGGCCGTCGAATGGCTTATTGGACTACTATGGGAATCTCTCGGACGCCTCTTTTCCGACGACGGCGTCTATACACCACCTCCGTGCCAGGCCAGGGCCATCCTGGGCCCTAGGAATTTGTGTATAGACCCTCCTGACCTCGGCCAGGAGGGCATACACAGCATCCTAGGGCCCAGGATGGCCCTGGCCTGGCACAGAGGTGGTGTATAGACGCCTTCTGCATATCTTCGGGGCCTCGTGAGGTATCTTGGGGCCTCTTGGGCCGTCATGGGAGCCTCTCGGGGAGGCGGAGGAGGGGGAGGAGGGGGAGGAGGTGGAGGAGGAGGAGGAGGAGGAGAAGGAGGAGGAGGAGGAGGAGGAGGAGGAGGAGATCGAGAGAGTCGTCTAAAGGGGCCTCTGGGGCTCTGTGCGGGGGGCATCTTGGGTCGGTGCGGCTGGCCTCTCGTCGGGCCGCCTTGGGGTCCTCTTGGACGTTTCTTGGGGGCCTCTTGGAAGTGCCTTCGGGGGCCTCTAGTAGGGGAACGAAGAATGACACAAACATAAAAACTCAGAGGTCCGCGCGGAACTCAGAGTTTTTATGTTTGTGTCATTCTTCGTTCCCCCATCTCGGGCCATCTCACGACCCTTCTGGAAATAAGAGGCGGGTGGTGGAAACCGCTTGCCCTTGAGAGGCCATCTTGCAGGCCAACGGGCCAGACGCGCAGCGCTCTACGGCGGCTTCTGCGCATCGGCGCCTGCGGTGCGAGGCGCAACGGATGCGGCTGGGGTGCCAGCCGGCCGCCCCGGCCGAAGCTGGAGCGAGTGAAGGAAACCGCGCCCCGACGGCGCAGTGGAGGGCGGCCTCCTCCTCCTTCTCCTCCTCCTCCTCCTCCTCCTCCTCCTCCTCCTCCTCCTCCTCCTCCTCCTCCTCCTCCTCCTCCCCGACGGCGCAGAGGAGGATGCGGGTCGCATGCGTGCCGGCACGCAGGATAAGTCATTGGTCGCAGCGCCAGCGGACGTTCAGCGCGGCCGGGGCGACAAACTGGGCAGCGGGACCGCGCATCCTGTGCGCCAGCGAAGGGACAGAGATGAGGGCGGCCGCGGGGACGTGCACAGGAAGGCACAGGGCTGCACACAGTGCCTCGGGTCAACCGCTCCTGCAGCCTCTGCTCCCCACGAGGTGTGAGGGGTAGCTGCGCAGCCACGTCCGAGGGGGGGGGGAATGGGGGAGGCGGGCGAGGAGAGAGGGGAGGGTAAGAGGCGTATAGGGGGAGAGGCAAGCGTCCCTCACGGGGCTCAAGGATTCCAGAGAGGAGCTCAGGGTACACCACTCTGGGCCACCTGCAGCCTAGAGGGCGGGTGGGATGTCGTCGTGTCTCCCCCGGCCTGTTTCTCGGATGGAGTAAGATATGTCGGAGACCTCTCGGTGGTTTGGAATGAGTTGGTGTATTGTCTTACGTGGTTTCTGACGTTCTTGAGTGGCGTGGGCCATGGGGGACCGATGGGCCACCGCCCCGGCCCAGACGATCCCCAGATTTGCTTAAAGCCGTTTGCGGGGTTCAGGTCAAACTTCTAAAAGCAAGGGGGGAGGAAGACCAGGAGTAGAGGACGTGCACGAGGAGCAATTAAAGGGAGAGAGGGAGAGGAGCACGAGGACGAGGACGAGGGCGAGAGGAGGAGGAGGAGGAGGACGACGACGACGACGGTAGAGGGAGGACGAGGACACTAGGGCGAGGTGGAGATGGAGGACAAGGGCGACGAGTGGAAGTTCGTTGCCGTCCTACTCCTCCTCCTCATCCTCCCTCCTCCTCATCCTCCCTCCTCCTCCGCCTCCTCCTCCTCCTCCTCCTCCTCCTCATGTTCATCCTCATCCTTTGTCTCTTCCTCTTCCTCCTCCTCCTCCTCTTCCTCCTCCTCCTGCTCTTCCTCCCTCTCTCTCTCAATCTCTCCTGCCATTATTCCTCCTCTTCCTCCTCCTCCTCCTCCCCTCCCTCCTCCTCCTCCTCCTCCTCCTCCTCCTCCTCCTCCTCCTCCTCCTCCTCCTCCCTCCTCCCTCTCCTCCTCCTCGTCCTCCTCCTCATCCTCCTCCTCCTCCTCCTCCTCGTCCTCATCCTCCTGCTCCTCCTCCTCCTGCTCCTCCTCCTCCTCCTCCTCCTCATCCTCCTCCTCCTCCTCCTACTCCCTTGTCCCTCCGACTCGCACTGCTCCTCTCTCCTCGCCCTCGCCGTCCTCGCGACGGGCGGTCAGCGGCGGCCCCGCCGGCGGCGGACGTAGGCGTGTCGCCGCGAGGCGCGAGCGACCTATGAGCGGTGCCCTGCCGGGAGAAGAGGCCCGGGCCGACGGCTACCCACGAAGCGCCAGCCGTG